GCGGGCAGGGGGCGTGAAGCCGGGGGGAGAAGGGAAACTGAGGGGGTGCCGAGGGAGTTGGGGTGCCTGGGGAGTTGGGGTGTGGGCGCGGCGCGGCCCGTGCCGGGCACTGACCCCTCGCACGGTCTCTCCTTTGTACGACCCCGTGGATGCTGGCATCAGATTCTAGTGTAAACTAAGAAAAAAGCCCCAAAGTCGCACACGCGGTGCCTAACGGCTTCATTCGCGTTACACGAAGTACAGAAAAACGCGTTGCCTTTGTGGAGCCGAAGCTTCACTCTGACGTTGTGAAATGCTGCGTGCTTAAAATTCAAGAAACTGCAAAAAAAGCGTCTTAATTTTACCAGCGACCTTTACAGCACCAATAGTTGTTGCAACACTTACAGGAAGACGATCGCAGCGTGGTTGTGCTTAACATGGTTCATACTGACGTGAAGCCTTTGGGGTCCTTTCTGTGCAGTTTCCTGGAGATAAGACTTGCCCATTCCACCATGCTGTTAATTAAACACCTTATTCCAGGAAAAAAATAGATTTGGTAAAAGTTTGTAGTAGTAGGGTAAAGTTTGGTAGTGCTCTCTTCCTTTAACAAATCCCTATTAATTTTTTTTTTTTTAAATTTATTTGATAGGTATCTAACTACAGGAGAGCAAAGACTGACTAAATGTTTCTTAAAACACGTCACTAACAATGCACAGACGGTCTGACATAAATGCTGCCCTGGAAGTTAAAGACAACGAGAGTAAATACATGGAAGTGAAGGAAGAGGCATCTTTCCCTCATCCACCAAAAGAGAAGATTTGCAAAGTGACTAAATCAAGAACTATAAGGGCATCTAAGGAGAATCTAAGGGATGGGAATGAGGCACAGTTGCAAAAATCCCCCCTGAAATGCCCCCAAGGCCTCGAGGAGGAATCCTACCGTGACAAGGAGGGTGTTGAGAGCTGCCAGTTCACAGAATGCCCTCTTGACAGGCTAAAAGGGGATGTGGCTGGTGAATGCCTTTTGCCTCTGAACAGCAAGGAAAACGTTCCCATACCTGTTTCTTTGTGGGATGAATGCTACTGCACACCTGACAGGGACAAAGCAGAAGAAAAATCTGACTGTGGAATACCAGAGAAACAGAGGAAAACCCCGGCTGATTTTGCAACTGTAACAATTACTGAATTTGGGATGAGCCAGGAGAGCTTTACCAAACATTCACTAGGTAAGGCTGGAGTGACTGTGGCTGTGTCCTTCCCTGAGGGATGTCTGGAGGTCATCTTGTCCAAGGGCTTACCAAAATCCACTTTGGCTCGGGTTGTCTGGCTGGGTTTGAGGATGCCCAAGGAGAGGACTGTGATATGTTGCTTTAATTCCCTCTTCAACTTTTTTCTCTCCAGTTGGTTAGGTGCCAGTGAGTTTCACAAGGGAGTAGTAAGATAAAGTTTGCAAGTATTGATAGACTGTTGCTTAACCAGCAGTTGAAGAAATAAGGGCAGCTCATTAATGAGTTTAGTTAAAGAGTAACTTGTTTTTGGGAAGATAATTCACTTTTGCACAGGAAGGGTTCCTGAGCAGGTGACTTTGTTTTCATAAATAGCATAAATCACTCTTAAAAGTTTCACAAGGGAGTAGTAAGATAAAGTTTGCAAGTATTGATAGACTGTTGCTTAACCAGCAGTTGAAGAAATAAGGGCAGCTCATTAATGAGTTTAGTTAAAGAGTAACTTGTTTTTGGGAAGATAATTCACTTTTGCACAGGAAGGGTTCCTGAGCAGGTGACTTTGTTTTCATAAATAGCATAAATCACTCTTAAAACAGAAAAAAGAAAAAAATTGCACTTTTAAAGCTTTATTCTTACAAAAAAAAGTCTTGTTTCCCCCTGTGCTGTCCCTGTTCAGGGCAGTCTCCAGCCTCCCTCAAACTGAGACGAAGATCCGCCATCGGCGTGCGGGGCTCTCCCGAAAACAACGCCCTCATCAAGTTCCTTGCCCAACAGAGAAGCAGCCTCTTAAAAAAGAAAAAAATTGCCCTTTTAAAGCTTTATGTGTTCTTACCAAAAAAAGTCTTGTTTCCCCCTGTCCTGTCCCTGTTCAGGGCAGTCTCCAGCCTCCCTCAAACTGAGACGAAGATCCGCCATCGGCGTGCGGGGCTCTCCCGAAAACAACGCCCTCATCAAGTTCCTTGCCCAACAGAGAAGCAGCAGGCAAAAAGCAGCTTTCACACAGGTGAGAGTCTTTCTCAGGTACCCAGTGTGTCAGTTTAGGTCCCCCAGCAATCACTATGTGCTGAAAGGAGGAGGAGGCAAGTTTGGGGAAGAAGGCAGGAGAAGAAATAACCATGGCCTTCATGTTATTGACTCCCCGTGGACGTCACTTACATTTAGAGGTTCTGGCTGTGTAGAGTCTGGAGACTTCTCCATCTCTAGTTTCTCACATACTGACTTTTGTTTACCATAACCTTTCTTTTCCTGCATTTGCCATGTCTAATGAGGGGAAAAAGAAAACGTCTCATGTGGTTAATTTTGTTTTGGCAGGCTAGTCCTTTTAAATATGACCACCTCAGGTCGCTGAAGAACAAGATAGATGCCTTTCAAACATCTTTTAAGGCAGTACAAGAAGCTGAAGGGGAGACTGGCTTCCCTGGACCATCCCAAGGGGATCATGCTTCCCAGGAAGCAGGCTCGTGTAAGTTGATTGTATTTCTGGTCAATGATTTAACTTAAACATCTTGTCTTCCTTTAGCCCAAAAAGTACAAAACTGCAAACACTTAATATAAACCCAAGAAATCTTCCCTTGTAAGGATGGGCACAGGTTTTTTTGTGTTTGCTTTGAGGTCTTTTTTTTTGTTTATCTTATTTTTTAGTCCATCCTGAATAGTGGTTTCTTAGAACAACCCCTGAAGAAAAATGAAGACTAGTAATTTTTGTGACTGTTTCCTTAGTTTTCCTTTCTAGATTTATCCCTTTTAATTGACTTTATAAAATTTTATTTTTATGACAGCTGGGTTTGGCTGTTGTAACTTTGATCTCTCTTGATTGTGATGTGCCAGCCTTTGTTTAATAGCTTAAGTGCAGTAGTTTTAGAAATCCCATCAGGTTACTGTGGCATTAATATCCTTATTTCCTAATGAAAACAGTGTTGCAGAAGCCAGTCAGGGCAGTGCTGTGGTCACTGTGAGGAGGTGATAGTGTAAAACTACTCTGCTTTTGCTTCTTTGACATTGGTGGGCTTAACATTTACATGAAAATAATAGCTTGCTTTGTTTTGAAGTGTTAGTAATGTCATTTTCAAAGCAGAACCAAAAGAAGCATGTGTTGCCTTTTTCCTGACTAGAAAATTACCTTTCTTTTTGGATCTTACCATCCTTTTGGTGAATGAGCACAAAAAGAGCATTCATTGAAAAACCTGACATTTGTCTTTGTGGCTTGTTGTTTGGGTTTTGTTCTGTTTTGTCTGTAACTGATGCAGCTCAGAACAAAGTATCTCTTACAAAGGAGTGGAACGTGGATCAGGGGAGTGAAAAGTTCATGGTAGACAACAGTGGAGCTGATTGGAAAGAAAATTTGAGACCAAGTTTGAGCAGCTGCAGGGAGTCTGGTACCAAGATATGCCCCATCGTGTCTGCATGCCAAGATGTGACTGTCACTGAGCCTGCTGCTGCTGCTGCTGGTGCAAAGGTACTTAGCTAAGTGTGGGCACAGCACTCAGGAAAACAAATAGCCCAGGAAATCTCCCTTGTAGGAATTTTACATCTTACTATCAAGCCAAAGGAAGGAAACTCTGGTGTGGGCACTGATCCATTTGGACTGACAGTGCGTAACCCAGAGACTTGCTGCTGGTGCTTCTGAGGGGGTGCTCACCTTTCTCCTACATGCAGATGTTCTTTGGGGATGCTCTCAGCTGTCCTAGTCCATAAGATTATACTCTTTTCTGACAATCACATGGAAAAGCTTATTTTATTCCATTAATGAAATTTACATATGCCTTACTTGTTTTGAATCCACAGCTGTAACTGTGGGATGTCAAATTCACAGATGTGCACAATACAACTTTTTCCAGATGTCAAAATCAACTTTATTGATCATTGGGATGACTTTGAATGCAGTTTTTAATCTTCACCTTTTATGTATTTGGCAGTTATTTGATATTCCATGAAAAAAAAAAAGATACAATTGTATACATTTCTGATGTTTAATCCTTTTAAGCATTTAGTGCTGCTGTTTGAGGAAAAGAAACTCAAGTAAAGCAGTGGATGATTGAGAAAACTCTGAAATCCTTGTCTATAGGATTAAAAAACTCAGTAAATCATGCTGCTTTAAAAGGAAGGATTTGAAAGTAGTCCTTTATTTCTTTATCATGTTATGTGTGTGTGTATATGTATATTAAAAACATCTTATAACTTTTTTCTAGGAATGGGTTAATGAACAACACAATCCCATTGAGTCGTCAGAGGCTGTTTTAATTAGAGATATCTTAGAAACAGAGCATGGTAAGAGGATTCATCACTATTATAATCTTTGTCACATTCTTACTAGAAGATAAAATTTGTAAGGAAATATTTCAGAAGCATTTCTTGTCTACAATTTTTAATGCAGTAGAAACCTGATAAAAATATTGACATAGAAGCTGATGGAACAAAACAAAAAGTACTGCAAATAACTCTGTTCAGGGGCTGTCTCAAAGAGACTCAAGTCCCAGTTTAAAAACTGACTTTGGAGCTAGTGTAGCATTAAGTGTGTTTATACTTAAGCACAAAATTCATAGGAAGGAAACAGCTTTTATGAGAAGAGCTGAAGAATTTGGAAGGTGGGGTAGGGCCTCGTGGGTGGTATGTTGGCAGTCTGATTCTGGTATAAGAAGCCAGCTCAAACCAGCATGGCCTGGGAACAACTGTTCAGAGTTTTCCTTAATTTTGCTAGCAGGCCATTTTTAGGGAAGAGTTCAGCTGAGTAGTTCCTGCTGGTGAAGGAGTAGAGGGGTGTTAATTAGAGAAGACTTAATCTTTTTTTCTCGGTTTACATGGATGAGAGAGAAATTCTTGGGCAAAATGTCTTTTCCTTCATGCAGTGTGCCCTTTTTACAAAGAAATATCTCAAAATATGAAACGTCTGTGTGGCTCAATAGTAGAAATTTGGAAACATGGATTTTTTTTGTGATGCTGCTGCACAGAATCTATAGAGACGTGTACATTTATAGTTCATGTTGCTAATGTTAAAGTATGGAATGTTAATTCAATCTTTAATTGTCATATCTGTATGCTTTAAAGGTTTCACTTCTGACCCCATCACTAAAGACTTTAGAAGGGATGTTTTATCAGCTCTAAGCAGGAAGAAAGCTGGTTTTGTGGAAGAACTGAGTCTGGAAATGTTTTATGGGAGCAAGCCACCTACCACACCACCTGCCACACCACTGAGGACAGGAAGTGCTTCAATAAATGAACAGGCACAGAGTGGCTCCAGGCTGCGGTCTGTGCTGAAGAAAACACCAGTGAAGGCACCAGTGGATGGCACAGAGGTTGGTGTCTTGTCCCACTACGTGGTGATGAGGGAAATGAATCTTTGTCATCCCCCAAAAACGGGCTGTCCCTGCACAGCAGGGCCACAGAGGTGGTGGAGCTGTGACAATGAGTCTGGAAATAATACAAAGCTATTGATTGGCTCTTCCTAATGACAGTCAGTAAGTGTTGTGGGTCAAGGCATGTGGCTGAACACCCATCTCCCTGTGGGTAAAGGCATGTGGCTGAACACCCATCTCCCTGCTTGCACTCTAAGGCTGAAAGTGGGGCAGTACTTCATAAAAAATGAGAAGAGAGAAAGTAAGACAGAAGAGAAAGAAAGAGGAGAAACTGAAGAGGAAAGAGAAGGTATCACCACCCATGGATCTAGAGGTGTTGTCCTGAGTCGAGGTCCTGGTCTGAGGGTGTGGGGCTGGCCACGATTCTTTCCTCTCTGGAGTTTTTATGGAGATTTGTGCCCAATCTCTATAAAGGTATTTCGAGAATCTTCTTGAAGTGAGGTGAGAGGACTCCAACAGAGCATGTACACAGATGGGGTCACATACCAGTGGGACATTTCATTGGGGTACCTGTTCAAAACAACCACCCAAGACCCCATGAAATGCCCCTCACCTCATTTCAGGAAGATTCTCAAGTCTACAATACACATGCACAGCGTGGAGACCACCCAGCAACTTAGACAGTGCCCCAGAGGAGGGCAGATGTCTATAAAAACTCAAGACATGGAAGAATCGTGGTCAACCCACCACCTTCAGACCAGGACCTTGACTCAGGATGATGATGCAGGATCCATGAGTGGTGATGCCTTTTCTTGTCTCTTAACTTTCTTCTGTCTTTTTTTCTTCTGGCTTACTTTCTGACTCTCTTCTACTCAGAGTTTCGAGGCAAGTTCACCTTATTGTCCTTGACAGTTGGTTAACTGACTGACATGGAGTGGTTCTGCAGTCATGGTGGTACTACCAGAAGCTGAGTTGTGGTTAAAGATGCTCTGACTAATTGACATGCCTTGGAAAAAATGTGATGCTCTTGATGGATGTCTCTTTGCTGTGTGGTCCTCTTGGAAGCTTCCTTTGAGGCCTTCACGTTATGAGAAGATCCATATGTGTGTTGAGTTTTACTCATTTCAAAAAACAAGTAGTTTTTTTAAATAGTAGAACTGGTTATTGAATGTTGCTTACAGAAAAAGTTACTTTTGCTTGATTTGAACAAGAACAATAATTTAAGTGGCATTGAGTAGGTGATTGTGTCACTTAAATTTGATAGGGATGCTGGAACGATGCGGTTGGCAGAGGAGGGGTTGAATCTTTCTCAGTCTCCAGTTGTGCAGAGATCTCTGAAGCACTGCAAACAGGTCAGATTCCCTTTCAGTTTTCTAAATAGGTGGAGTATTTATTATGCCAGGTCATAAAGAGGTTTTGCCTTTCTGGTAAATGTGAAGAGTTATATGAATTAGCCACCACTGAAGTAGCTCCTGTGTAGCATCCTGCTGCCTGAAGTGGAAAATAAGTTTGCCAGGGAAAACAATGTGTATTAAAAAAAAAAATAGCCTGCAGCATAACTTCAGAAATCCTCTAATATTAGAAGTATTTGTCAAGAAAACTATTAACTCTTATAATAAGAGTTTTATTTATTTTGTTTTATATTACTTATTATAATGAGTACAGCACCTAATTGTCAAGAAATTTTCCACTTCTCAACTGGAACTGGTGGAACAGCAAGTCTTTTCCTAGTCTTCTATTTTCTTCCTTAGTTCTTGACACTGTAGTAGAGCTATAGTGAAAGTTCTGGCTGAATCCACAGCAAAGGTAGATGTGATACTTTGCTCTTTGTCTGGAGGGTGATGTGATTTTTAAGAGGATGTTAAGGCCCGTAAAAAGACCTTTAAAAGTCTCATCTCTGTGAAAGTTCTGTTTTAAATTCACTAAGCCCTCTACGTGTCTTATTGCAGTAGAGAAAACCAAATGCCCTAGCTCTGAGAGGCCAAAGAAGAAGAGAGTCACTTTTGGGGAAGTTCTGAGCCCAGAAATATTCGACGAGGCTCTGCCTGCGAACACTCCCCTGCGCAGAGGGGCAGCTCCAGCCCCCCAACCCCCTGCCCAGAGCAACAGCCCTGCTGCAGGGCCAGGCCCTGGGGGGGAGCCACTGCCCCAGCCAGATTTCGACTGCACTGAGGCAAGTTTCCTCTTTTTTTGGTGGCTTGTTAGTTTTAATCTATAAAAACATCCTCTTAGTCTCTGCAGAGGTTTGATTGTTGTTGTTGTTTAATTTTTTCTCCAGTCAGCCTGGTTTTGAAGAGAAATTGCTAAAATAGAGTCTGCTTGCAGCTTTAGAATGGCATTGAGAACTTTTTGTTTTGCTTTATGAATTCTAAATAGCATCTTGGCCTGTAGAGCTCTGTTTAAAGTTGAGCACTGGTAGCACACCAAATGATTTTGCCTTAGCTTAATGATATACTTTTGATACTGTGTTTTTTTGCCATATGTAGAAAATGAGCTGCAATCTAAGTGAAATAAAATGTCACCTGTCTGTTCTAATCACTAATGGACGAGGAGGTTTTCAATACATACCTGATGTAATATATTGCTAAAAATGTTAACTTTTTTTTGTTTAAAGGAATGTGATGAGTCTCTTCAAGAGTTAGTGGAGGGTCCTGTTGCAGCAGAAGCCCTTTTACCTGTTGAAAATGCAGAAGGTAATGCCAGCTTGTGGTTTTGTCATTAGATAATTCATCTTTCTGTGTCTGAAGATGGAGAGGTGACACAGGGGCTTTGGTTTGGTTTTATTTAGGAGATATATTAACTGTGCTAAAATTTGAATGATCTTGCATTCTTCTAAAGGTCTTTGTAGTTGCTGCAGTGTTTACCTCTTGTTTAAGTTAGCTGGATGTTTTTTGGCCTTTGATTTGAACAAGGACAATAATTTAATTAAATTCCCTACATGCCCCCTGCTCTTGTCCTCCTGGCCACACTCTGTTCTTGATAGGCCAGGATGCTGGTGGTCTTCTTGGCCACCTGGGCACATGCTGGCTCATCTCCAGGCAGGTGGCCACCAGCCCTCTGCAGAGCCCCTGACCCTCAAACACATCAGCACCCATCTCAGTGTGCTGTCATCTGCAAACTCACTGAGGGTGCCTCGGTCCCCTTCAGCTCAGTGATAAAAATATTAAACAAGACTGGCCCAAAACTGAGCCCTGGGAACGGTGCTTGTGACTGGCCACCAGCTGGATCCAACTCCATTCACCACAAGTCCCTGGGGTAGTTTTGGTGGTTTTGAAACAGCAAGCAAGACAACAAAACTTGGAAGGGGCTCGTGCATGTGTGTGTCTGTGAAAGCTGTGTGAGTGCTAGTTGTTTTGTTACTGAATCCTCAAAAGTTTTGGGTCCTGTTTTATAAGGCAAGCCATTAAGTTTGCTTCATCTTGCCATCTTTGACAGTCCTCCAGACTAAGTTACTAGTTACTCAAGACTAAGGTGACTAAACACACTGTGCATAAAGCTAGCAATTATGTGGATAATTTCCTCAAAATGTGATTAACTTCTTGTGTTGAAATTGAATCGATATTCTTATTTTCTTCACATAAAATAGCAGAAACTGACAAATCTGATATGATAAAAACTCGTTCTTCTACTAAAAGGAAGGTAAGTTTCTTTAGTGATGATTGTTTTGTTTTGCTTTTTTTAACTTCTTCAGGCTGAATTGTTACCTTTTATACCTCCTGCTGAGGAGTTTTATGTAAGAGTTTTTACAGCCTCAGGTATGAGGGTTGTATACGTCCAGATATGTGGGAATAACTCATGTTAGTGCAGGTAATCATCTTAAGGACATCTCATTATGAGTGAAAGTGGTTTTCCAGTTATTAAAAACATTTTTGGTTATAGCCTGATACTTTAATTTACTATTCCTGTTGAATTTTCCAGGAAGCTTCCCAAAGAGTCTGACAAAATTTAGAAGAGATCTATTCACAGACTTTCATTCATAGGATCTGGGGCTTCACTCATGGACATTTAAAAACTTACAATCACAGAAAATTGAGATTTGCAACAAAGTTTTCTGTCTAATTTTTGTATTTGGTTTAATTTCTTTGGGGCATAGGAACATGAGAAATGAGAAAATGTGGTTGTGTTCCCAAGTAACCTTTTTGTGTGTGAGCTGTCTCACAGACAGAATAGCACATGTGTAGCTCTCCTGGTTGCTGGAAATTTTAGGTGCACAGAATATATTGTACAACAGTGTGTAAGAAGTGCTTGCAGACTCCAGTGTTGTACAGTTCTAGTTGCTTTATTGGAAGGGGAAAGAAAAAAAATGTAGTGCAAAAAAGTAACCAGTTTTTACTGAAAGGAATAGCTGAAGATGAAAACAGACTATTTTCTGTTTAGAGTCTCCTTTTTGTACAAACAGAACTCTATTGCACTGTGTGAAGAGACTAGCTCTATAAATTAATATCCAGTTGTGAGTGTCCAGCTGTTGGAACCTGTGAAGTGAGAGTAATGAGTGTGGTTCATGTGGTGGCTGGATTGTGAGGCACACACACCCCCCCCAGCAACTCACCCCTCCTGTTCCTCAGCAGCCCAGCGCCGTTTCGGAGGGGGCTGACTCTAGCACCTCAAGAGCCACAAGTACTAAGAATGCTAAAGATACTAAAAACCCAAGAAAGAACAAGTTACAAAGACAAAAGAGTGTAACTGCATCTGCTGCCAAAAAGACACAAGTAAGTGAGAGCCCACTGCAGCTGGTGAATGCTGCCTGTATTTCTCTATCCAAGTCTGTCTGTTTTCTTGGGTGCTTTAGGTGATGATGTTGGCAGTTCTGCTTTCATGTGTTGGAAGGGAAAACACACATTCCTTTTCAAACTAAACATGAAGGAAGAATCTGTAATTTTGAGCTGAAGGGCTAATTTCTCTGTCTTAGATTTGGTGAAATGAAACAAAAATCATATCTTATGTTTGAGAAGTAATTCTCCTTTGACGTTTTAGATGAGTTTGTAGATGGCAGAATGAGTGAAACATTTGTTTTAGGGGAAACAATTGTTGCCCATCAAACTCCAGTAATGCTGTCACTTATTTGTTGTAAAATATTGTGCAGCATCACTATAATCATGTTGTGCTCTATTCAATCTTCTCAATCTTTTCAGAGAGTAAAACATACAAATTATGGGAAAAGAAGAAGGAAAAAAGTAAATAAATCTTTATATGGAGAAAGAGAGATGGCTTCTAAGAAACCTCTTCTCAGCCCTATCGCTGAAATTCCAGAGGATTTCTTTTCTGTCTCATCTCCAAACTCACCAAAGGCAAATGCACTTTTTTCAGGTAATGTGGCTTTTAGGTTTTTTTTTCCTTGTTCTTTCTTTTGCTTTTAATTTTTTATTTCAACAATTATGTGGAAAAAAACTTGTTGATTGTTGTCTTGAGCTCTGTGTATAGGTAAAGAGCCCAGTATACAGTTTTTACTTTTGATTGCTTTTGTAATAGTGAAGTCCAGAGGAACTGGTAGATTAATCTTCTCCAACGGGGTAAATTGATCTCTCATTGGACTCCAGTGTAAAGCTGACAAAAAAACCCACCAAACCTCTCTGTATTCTGACTGGATACTGGTATTTTCATAGTCTTTACAACTGGAAAGTTGGTCATGAATAGTTAAGTGGTATGCAGTAGTTTCTGTTTTTTTTACACTAGTTATCTGGAATGGCTGTTCAGAAGGTTACTTTTATGCAAGTAAATTCCTACAAAGCTTTTGTTATAATATTTAAAAGAAGATTTTGTACATTCACAAGCAGAGTCAAGTAACCCTATGTTTATTCTAATTCAGAGGATGTATTTTTAGCTAGTACCCAATTTGGGGATGATTGCAAGGATGTTCAACAGAAGGCAGTGGTTGAAAGCATGAGAGAGACAAACATCCAAGAAGTTGATGTGCATGGAAGCTCTAAGGACCTGGGTGCTGCAGGAGCCAGCAGCTCCCATGATACAGTGATTCAGGTGTCAGATGGTGCTGATGTGGAGCCTGCCTCTGGCCTTGATCAGAAGGTAAGTGATATGCTTAAAGATACTGCTAGAATACAAATCAGAATTGTGTTTGATGTTGAGTCAAAGTAATGTTTTCAGAGAAGAAAAAAACCTAGGAGTAATTAAGCACTGGACCAGGCTGTGTGGAGAGGCCATGGAATCTCATCCCTGGGAGGAAGGACAGGTACTTCAGGACATGGTTTAGTGGCCGTGGGAGTGTTGGGTTGATGGTTGGACTTGATGATCTTGGAGGTCTTTTCCAACCTTAGTGATTCTATGATGCTATGAAGTATTCAGAACTCAACAAGACCTCGAGCAACTGAAGTTTGGCTCCACAATGGAGCAGATTCCAACATGGAGGTTTCTATGTGAGGTTTTTGAGAATGACTAGACTTGGTGAGGAAAGCAATAGCAGTTGTTTCATTGTCAACTGCTTGAAACCAGGATTTTGTGATTTACCTTTTGCCTCTATTAAAATATTAATTTTTTTTTCAGTTTTCAAACATTGTGCCAGATGTGAAGTGTGGTTTTGATACAGCTGAGTATTTCCAAGAAGGTAAAGAGCCTGCATGTGTAAAAGAGGCAGAAGAAAGTGGTTCCCTGATAGAAAGTGAGAAATTGGAAGGAAATCTCCTAAATAAGGTGGAGCAGCTAACTGGGCTAGAATTTGTGGAACAACAGGACTCTAGTCTGCATGAGGGTGTCCAAAGTACTTGGTGTCCACAGAAAGATTCTGTGGGAGGTAGTTCATCAAGAAGAAGAGGAAGAAGAAGCAGTGCTATTTTTTTTCCTCCTGTTGAAAAATTGGAAACAACTGTAAACAGTCCTCTGGTTTCTTTTAATATAGATGAGGTTTTATCTGTTCCTCAGCTAAAAACTGACTCCTTGAGGCCTTTTAAAAGAAAGAGTGATAACAGTGGTGAAAAAAGAGTGAGGCGCAGCATGAGGTTACACAGAGATTCAGGAATGGAAGGACTTGCATGGGTTCAAGTGCCCAATGAGACTGAAAAGACCCCTCCCCAGCCAGCTTCTGCTCGCAAGACCCGAAGAACAATCGGCACATCCATCCTGCTGGAATCTGAGATCATCCACCACAAAGAACAAGATCTCATCCTGTCGTCAGCACCGGGGAAGGAGAACAATGACTCTGTTCATCTTGCTGGTAATCCTTGCAGGAGAGGGAGGAGGAAAAGCCTGTGTGTACCCACACCTCAGGAAACCAGAACCTCATCTCAGATCTCCCGGAGAAGGAGCACAACAAATTCTGTATATAGAAGGCACAGAAGTCACCAAAACCACTATGAAGATGTAGAAAGACCTCTTGAAAATCACTCTAACATTTAGCGAGGTTTCAGCTACTTCTGATTTTCTGAAGTAATGGTCAGTATTAGATTCCTGTGTTCTCTCTGAAGTGCTGTTTTCTTCTCTCTCCAACTTCTGTTTCCTTACGTAATATTTCATTTTTCATGTTCTGGATAACTTGGAACTGATTTTCCCTGTCTTTATGGCTAAAATGCCTGATGGTCAGAAGCACACATGGAGAACTGCTTTCCTCAGGGGAGACAGTCATGGCAGGTAATCAAGAGGATACAAAATTTTTCTGCCATGATGAACTAAATTTGACATCTCTTTATTCTAGTCTGCATCCTTGCTTATGTATTTCCATGCTTCAGTGCTGGCTGCAGAGTAGTGGCAGTTAAATGATGCTAATATTAAAAACTCAACAAATGAACCGTTTTCTTTGCAACACCCAGTTCAGTCATTTCAAGAAGGCAAAGAGGGATTTTTCTCAGCTGGAAGGGTTGTTCTAGGGGCTCAGGAATTTTGATTCAAGACACAGCAGTCTGACAATACACAAAATTGGCACAATGTTTGTGCATTTGTAGGTTTTGATCACAGCCTGGGATTTTCTCATATTTAGATAAATATTTACAGCTGTGGTCCCTGCACAGGAGTGTGGGATTTTTTGCCCCTGCAGCTTGGCCATGATTGTTAGGCTGGATGTCTTTAGGAGACCATTCTGCTCCACTCTCAAGTGCACAACCAACATATGAAGCTGCTAAATGGAGGCATGTCAGCAAATGTGTGACTCTCAGCTGATTTAAACAGGAACAAATCTGATAGTTCAAAATTAGTCTGTGGTGACAAGTTACTTTTTAGGAGATTTGGGGTTGATACTAATCCATATTTTACTGATAAAGCTCTTTCTTTTTTCTTTGAAAAGCTTAAGATTGTTCTATTTTTGAAGTTTAATTGAAGTAGATAACACGTGAATTTGTCTTTAGTTAAACCATGATGTTGTAAAGTCTGCCCTTTCAGCTGGAGATGCTCAAGGTGTTGATGTTTCCCATGTGCTTGATCATGCCTTTCAAATGAAGCTCTTTTTTTTCTTTGAAAGAACAGGACTCAAGCTTAAGATTGTTCTATTTTTGAAGTTTAATTGAAGTAGATAACACGTGAATTTGTCTTTAGTTAAACCATGATGTTGTAAAGTCTGCCCTTTCAGCTGGAGATGCTCAAGGTGTTGATGTTTCCCATGTGCTTGATCATGCCTTTCAAATGGCTTTTGAAATCTGCATTAATTTTCTTCCAGATTTCAAAAATATCCTTAATAAACCCTTGAGATTCTCTGGAAATAAGAAAGAAATCAGTTCTGGCTTGAAGGGGAGGAGTAGAAGGCCAGGAAGCTGTTACCATCTTCTGGAAAGACTTTGCTTTACCTTCTGGGTGTGGCAGGGGTAGAGTTCCCATAAGTAAGACTAAATTTTGTGTTAGGAAGAGTTCATGAATTCTGCTTCTCCAGTGTGAAGATTGGTCATTTAGGGGAAAAAAAAAAAAGCTTTTAAATCTTTATTGTATATAACATTAATTTAAAAAAATTAAATTGGCTGAGGAAAGTGAAACATTCATCATACAATAAAGCTGTGCTTCCTTTCTGGACAGTTCCAATTTTCAGTGTATGTGTAGTAAATACAGCACATATTATTCAGTAGTTGACCTGTCATCTTGCTGTTCTCATTTTTCTAGTTTGAACAGTGTAATAAAAAGTGATGACTGTAGGTGGTCTACTTAAACATTTGCTGTTGCTTTCATTTTTCATACTGTTCTGTTTCAGCCCCAGTGAAATACCTGTGCCAGCTTGGAGGAAATAGCTTTCTGCTGAAAGTGATCTCTTCTGTGACCTTGTTTTTAACATTATTGATGTGGAATAAAATACTTTATGTACTTGGCTGCTTTTATAAAGCTTAAAAGCAAACAGAACGATTTCATTTTTATGCATGTTTTTACTTTTCTCTACAGACATCATCAGCTTTTCCCAAGACAAGAACTCCTAAGGCAACTTCAAAGAAACTTCACTACTTAAATGCTGTTCATCTGATGCTGCTTTAGAAACATTACTGAAGTTATCCAAATCATTTGCTTGTTTTATTTTGGGGTTTGCTTTTGTGGCAGAATGAAAATTTTATATTTGGAAGCAGAATGGCAACAGTTCCTTGGGTGGGGTCTTGCTGTGGCAGCAATATGTTGGTGCACCAGGAGAGGGCAGCCTGACATGAGCTTTTTATGGCTGTAACTGAATTTGAGAATAATACCATAATGTACAAAATCCTTGAAGAGATACTAGCTGAGGTTAAAATCAAAGCTCCTTAAAATTAAAGCTAATAATAGCTGCAACTTTGAGCATTCAAAAAAATTCAGAACAGCAGCTGAGCTACGCACTGAAATGAATCTGGAAAACTGAAACACTCACTGTATTCAGCTGTGACTCTGTGTGGAAGTCACATTGGATCCTTAAACACAGTAGAATTATAGCTCTACACTGTGGTTGTAGCTGAGATGTTAGGGTGTACCTGACAGCTTTCAGATCTCAAATCTGGCAGTGAGTGAAACCTTTGGAGACTGGGTGTAAGATACTGAATACCAGGCTTGAATAGTCAGGTCAAGTAAAGAGTTGTCCTGGAGGAAGAGGCAATAAATTAGAGGGCTTCATCAAAAATGCTGCCTAAAATGAGCTTGTGAACGTGATCCTGTTGTCCTGAGCATTGGTCACAGCAGCACTGGAAGAGAATTCTCCCCTGAGGTTTCTGCAATGGATAGGCTAAGTGCACTTCAGGTAAGGAGTGAAGCATAAGTCAAGTCAGATATAGAAGAGTGAGGGTGAGGAGAAGAAAACAAAAGGTTATTGGGAGTGTTTTGTAGGTGCTTGATGGCAGTTTGCATGGCTTGCATGAGGGTGAGGCTGGAACCTACAGAGAAATGCAGTTAATGGGACTTAATCTGGAGTGGGCCTGAGAGGACAAGGCTTCAGTTATGCAGAAGGTTGTTGTAAGGGCAGGATAATAATCTGTTCTCCATATCTGTACTGAATGGGGCAAGAAATTGTGTGTTTAAATTAGAGAAAAATGTCTGTTAAATATGAAGAAAAAGTTCCATCAGCAGAGATAGTTGAGCATGGGAATCTGCTGCCTTGGCAAGTTGTGGAATCTCCATCACTGGAGGCTTTTAAGAGCAGATTAAACAAATATCTGTCAGGAAAGACATATGATCCTTCCTCAGGGTAAGGATAGGGCCTGGATGGCCTCTCAAGGTCTCTTCTGGCTGTGTTTTCTGATTGCTAGAGATTAGGGTTGCAAGAGGTGATTTGGGACTTGCCTGATAGCTAAGACCTGAGATTGAATCAGTCATGGAGGAGGGAGCTGGAGATTTGCTAACACTGGGGGCTGTTCAGCATGGGAAGGAACTGGGGAATTTGGGAGAGGGCCCTTCATGCAAGGCCAGCAAAATGGTCTTAGTATTTTAAACATCCAGATCTCACGTGGCTTGCTGCCCTTTCTCAGAGGAGTATCTACAGACTCCTCAAACTGTGTCACCTGCAGCTTGGTGGCCTTGCTGTTGCACAGGAAGCAGGAACAGCAGCAGGGACAATGCTGCTCTACTTCCAGATTTGCTTCTCTAAAATGGAGTTACCAGTAAGCTTTGAATGGACAGCAACTTCACTACCCCTGTTCAATCAACAGAAGGACTTTCTGAAGTCACCTCTTGTCTTCAAGGCCACATTGGGATGTAGGAATTAAAATAAAGGTGCCTTCTCTCCAAGTGCAGATGGGTGTCAGGATCTTTTGACTGTGGTTCTGTTTTTCAGCTGTTCATCACAGCCCTGTCTGGAGTAGATGTGAGTGTGGTTCTGTCACCTTACCTTGGTGTAGTCACTCGAATACAACCTGCAGTTTAATTTGCAGCAGCCGTTGGACAGAAGAATGCAGAGCCAGCAGTGTAAAACTGAGCTGAGTTTTTGTTTGACTGGTGAAGCATTGCTGTGCAGTGGCTTAGACTGGGGAGTGGGCTGGTACAGTCTCCTGGGCAAGGAAGAGCTTTTAAAGTCCCTGTTTTGACTTTTTTTTGTGCAGTACTGAATCTCTATGTCAGTCTGTGTGTTATAACGGCATCTAAATAAATCTGTGGTTTTGACCAGCCTCTTCCAGCTCTCATTTACTCCCCTCACTCCTCTAAAGGGGGCTTTCCTCTCTTTAGGGGCTTGTTTTAAAGATTCCTTTGTGTTTAAAAGCACTTCACTGACGTGAAGTACTGGATTGTAGAGACTTTGAATGGCTTCAAGTATGGTAACAGCACCAAGTGTATATTGCTGAATAATTGCATTTAGCAGATTGTGTGTAATTATCATGCTCTGACTGACATAGAGGACAAGTGGTGGGTCCTAGAAAGACTGATTATTTTGCCACTCTGTAATTATGATGTCGTTAATAAGTAAGAGTAATTACATATCACTTTTGCTTGTGCTGCCCTATCAAGTGCAGTCTGGATAGATTTTCAGATAGGCAAATATCTGACGACTAGCAGTAAGTATTTCACAGCTGGAATGGTCTTTGCTTAGATTTGCTTAATGTTAATAAGCTGAAGATACAAAGAACAGCGATACTTGAATTTTCTTCAGAAAGTTTTAAATGGGAAGTGTTAGTGTTTTCCAGGAATTATTCTATGTTAGTACTTTGCCATAATGAAGATGCACATAAGCTGCAGAAGTGGAGTTGATATGACCAAGTTTTTCTCCTGTGTGAGTTAACAGAAGTAAAACAGATCTGTCAGTATGCCACCCACAGCAGGGGAAAGAAAATAACAAGAATTGTCTATGCCTTTATTTTTTCACTTCAAAATAATCAGTTGTACATAAAACTTCATCTCATCTTCAGCTTGTTTTTCTCTACTTGCTTCTGACTCGCTGGGCAGTAGAGGGGGATACTCAAACACCATAGTGCTGCATATATATTTCACTATTTTATGTTCATCTGGACTAGTTACTGTTTAGAAATGCACTAAAATGTTTG